TCAACTTTAGTTATGTCAGCTCCTTCTTTTAATTACTATCCATCAAATATAGAAAAGCATATACCCAAACCTTTTAGTTTTAGATCTTCTTTACTAAGAACATTTCAAATTTAAAAAAAGTAAAAAATAATAGTATTCAAGAATAAATTGTATCTATTACATTTGTGTTTAGATATATTTTAAAAGCTTTAAACAATAATTTTTCTTTTTACTAAGACTTTATTTTTTAATTATAAAGATAATATAAAACAATATTTAATATATATCTAATACATAGAATAATACAAATAAACTTGAATTTCGATATTATAAAAATTATTTATTTGTTTTAACTATTTGATTTGTTTTCTGTAATATTCTTTTGATATGCCCTCTGAATATTCATTGACTGTATAAAATTTGGTGAAATTGATAAGACACTAACTTGCCTATTAATAGAGATTCGTATTTTTGTATCCTTCTTAAAATATTCAATGTTGACAAGAAGTTGGCTATTATTGCAAATATTACTAATTATAAGTTGAAAACTTTTCAATAGATATAATATACTTATTAAATACCTAGGTATTAAATAAATTCAATTAAAATTTAAAATATCAATCTAATTTTAATATTACTTTTAGATGATCGAACATTGCTTATTTTATATTTGGCTATTATAGCTTCAACTTGTGATGCTTAAGCAACGAAAGTTTTTAGTGAAATGATATAGGTATATATATTCTATTATTTATTTTGCTAAGTTTTAATTTGATAGTTTCTTGTATATAATTAACGAAATAAAGCTTACAATATAAAATACATATAACAAATATTGTATCACTTTTATTTTTACAAGAAAAAAAAAAAATTGAAAAATATTATTGATTATTATAATTTAAATAATAATAAACTAATGACAATAAATAATTTTATTTTATTAGCTAGACAACGTACATATATATATATGTAGTTTTTGTTTCTAGTTCCGAATATTATACCATTCTGATCTAGCTTCATTTAGTCTCAACCTGGTACATATTTTTCAGATGCAAATATATTCTTGAATTTGATTAATTTTTATTTACTATAATATTGATATAATATCTACGTTTAAATTATATTTTTGGTCCAATTTCAAAAATTACTATAATAAATATAATACCTGTTCTATATACAAATAATTTTATTATTATAATGTCAACATTATTAAAATTTCGTTTAAATGTTTGCTTAATATGTTTAGCATATTTAACTTGTATAAAAGTTTATAGAAAGATTGTTTTTATCAACCAATAAAACTTGACAAGAAATATAAAAAAGGCTCCGGATATCAAATTAGCTTTTATAGTAATATATTACATAAATAGGTGCTAATATTAAAAAAATTAAACATAATCAAGAATTTGTTGATTGAACTAAAAATTCAACAAAGTCAAAATTCCAAAAGATCAAGACTTAATTAATATTTGTCGAAAATGTGGTAAAAATTATGATTAACACAATCAAAGCGAAATAGTAAATCTAATAATTAAAGAATTTTTATTATCCATGACAAATACTTTTGAGTTACCTGACTTGTCTGAAGTGAACACAACTAATTCAAAAATTAATAGATCCTGAATTGAATATTTTTAACATGAAAGAGCCTGAATCAGGAGCTATTAATACGAAAGAGCCTTTTATAAAATTGCTAAAAGTTTATAAAATAAAAATATATATAAATATATGAAATATTATCTCTTTGTGCATATATCCAAGTCAGTGTATAGCTCTCCAAATTGTTGTAAGACTAATGTTATGTCCCAACCAAAGCTCTAGTCAGGTTTTTCTTTTATTGAAACTTGAAAGATAATTTATATCATTCATATAGTTTTCCTAAAAGCGACGAAAGTTTTTTAATACAACCATATCTTTAAAAATGTACAAAAACCTGACTTATAGAAGACCTGCTAACACCTAAGTGTTTTGCAATTTTTTGAGTTGAAAGGGCTTCTAAATTTTTTTCAATAATTTGCTAGCGAATGTGGTTTGAAAATATCATATTTTTTGAATTTAATAAGAGATGTGTATAATTTTTTATTTATATTAGCCATCTGATTTTAAATTATATATATATGTAATAATAATATCTCATGATCTTGATATAGTAATTGGGGTATTATACAGAATTATATCAATTTTTATTGCCAAAAAAATTACCAACCAAAAATTTTTTTTGGCTAATTTTTTATAGATATCTCAGGAATAATAAAAACAGCTGTAATATTATAATATCCATTATTCGAAGTATTTTATCCAAATATCTTTTGCTAAACATTTGTCAGATTATTGTAATTATTTATGAAAAGTATAAGCAATTTATAACTAAGCAAAGCAATTGATTAATTAAATACAATATCATTTAATTTTAATAACCACCAAATCAAAAAAATTCTGCCTATATGCCTTTTTATTAAATCTGTTTGTTTCTAATTATACAGTATATAACTAGCATTTTGAAGCATCTATAATATATGAAATTGAAACTAATAGATTGTTTCTTCAACAATCATTTTCTTATCTACTAAATCAAGCAAACCCTAACACTAACTTTAAATTAGGCCAACCACAGCTGTTGGAGAAATAATTGTTGAAGAAGCAATTAATCAATATTTATAAATGTAACAAAATATAATCAGAAAATCTATATGACTGATACTTAATATGTAAGATATAAAAAGTTTTTTAATTGGGAGTTTACAAGTAAGCCAGAGAGTAATATGACTCAGATTACTATATATAGTGCGAATGTGGCCTGCACGAATCTAAAACTTTTTTTTATACTAAGTTAATCACTCTTCTAATTTAAAAGACTTTTGTAAAGCTTGTCAAAATGCATCTAATGGTAGTTAGAACATCAAAATCACCCTGGTGGGTGCTGAGATATCTTTAAAAAACCTTTTTTTTACTATGTAAATTTCTTTGCAAAAATGCTCTCTTTTGCAAAGAAATTTACATAGTAAAAGAAAGGTTTTTTAAAGATATCTCAGCACCCACAGGCCGATTTTGACATTCTAACTACCATTAGATGCATTTTGACAAGCTTTACAAAAGTCTCTTAAGTTAGAAGGGTGATTAACTTAGTATAAAAAAAAGTTTTAGATTCATGCAGGCCACATTTGCACTATAGTAAATTTATATAGTAATCTGAGTCATATTTTACTATAATACTCTCTGGCTTACTCATGGACTCCTAATTAATAAAAATATTTATATGATACTGTTAGAACAAATTAGAAATTTGAAAAAATCTAATTAAAAGTGAAGAAAAATTATTATAATAGACAATTAGTTTTTTTTTCTTATAAACTTTTAAATCAAACAATGCAGAAATTTAGAGGTGTCTTTTTTTTAAGAGTAAGATTAGAATTTAGGTTAGTGTTGTTCGCAAAAGAGTATAGGTGGATTTTAGTAGGGTTTAATTTTCAAAATACATAAAAAGACAAAAAAGATTTGTATGTATCATTAGAATAGATAAAATTTATTAATCTTACAATAATAAACTTGGCTATTTTTTCTTTATGAGTGAGTATAAAAATATTAAGAACATTTCTTGTACACATAATATTTCTAAATGTTTAAGTAAAACTTTAAAAACCAATTTTAATACTGTAATATATCATCATTATTCTATGATTATTTTACAGTCAGACAGTAAATACTGTCTAGTTAGAAGAGTGATGAAGTATCTAAATATAAGGCTCTAAACAGGGAATCATGCGTCATTCTGCCTATCCAGAACAAAGAAGCATGCAATTTTTTTGAAAAAAAAAGTTCACAGTTAGTGTTTCAAATCAAATTAAAAATCCTAGTTAATTCGAGAACAATTCAGAGCCAATCTCAAAATTTTTAAGTACCCTAATTTTAAAATTAGGCTCAATCTGGCCCAATTCGAATTTTTTGTACCAAAGCTAATCCAATCCGAATCTGATTTGATTTGCCTTTTTTAAACACTATTCATAGCATATAGTTTTCATTGTGGCTATGAAAGAATGAATTCAAACAATTGAGGTTGGGTTTTGGATGCCACTTGGCTATATATGAGATCGATAGGGTTAGTGATATTTGATTAACATTTTTCTTTTGGGAGGCCAAAGTATACAAATAGAACAAATATTAGTACAAATTGTTAAAAATTTCAAATTCCTCTTAATGATACTCTGAAGAATCTGTATATGTTTTTTATAGTAATTTTCTTTAAAATAAACATGAATTTATTTGAATTAACAAAATCTAATCATAAGTAATGATTTCTAGACCAAGCCAACAACTATTCACAATAATAAATTAACCAGAAAATTTTTCCATCTTTTAATTTTCACAGGTGTTAATGGTATTGCATGAACAGTCTTTTTAAGGAAGTTTAATAAGTTATTTCTTTCATAAAAAGATGATTTAATTTTTTCAATTTCTCATTCAATTTCAGTTAATGTTTTTAAGTTTTTGCTTACTGTCTCCTACAAAAAAAATTAAATTGTAAATATTTAAAGTAGATATAATAACTAATATACAATCTTAATATAAGTTAATAAACTCAACAAAAAGATCAAATCTGAAACACTGTTAGATTTAACAGGAATTTTAGCTTCACTTACAAAAAAACATAAACAAAGTTGGTGATTATCTATAAGCTTAATAGCCATTAAAGAAAATTTTTTCTTTAAAAAATTTTATAATTAAATTTGTATATGCTTATAATTAAAAAAAAAAAATATAAATAACCAACCACTTACTAGCAATAAAAATAGCTATCCATCTTAAATTTGTAATAAAATTTTCTAATTTTTTTGTAATGTTTTTAGTGTTCTTTGCTAGAAAAATTAAAAAGCTGTTGATTAAATCATTTATTGATCTTAAGAGTTTGTTATAAACACCCTGAAAAGGCACATTGAGAAGCTTTGCCTTTATGATTAAGAAGTATACCAAGTTGTTTTTATATATATATATATAAGAGCTGTATTAATCTTTTTTAAATAAATTCAAATAAAGGTAATATCTGGCTTTGGATCTTTATTTAGTAAAATAGTAGCGTTTGATAGTAAAATAATAAATTCATCATTGTTTTGACTTTTAATAATAATATTTTCTTTAACAGTAATATTTTGATTGTTAAGTTTGTCGAGTATATTAAAAGCTTTCTCAAAGTCTAGTAGCCAATTACCATATGGCAAATAATAATGCCAACTTCTTCTTTCAAAAGAATATTTAGTTTCATATTCAGGGCTAAAATAAATACAATAATGATTTAGAAATAGTTCTACTCATAATTTTAAAGATATTACAATAGTTATCCAAAGAGGTAAATTCGGAAATATAACAAATTATATAAAATTATTTGAAGTAGTTGATAGATATAATTCTCTAAATAAAATTTAGACATTATAGGTGATAGGTTAACCCACTCTTTAAACCTGAAAAGAATATTAACTATATTTTACAGTAAATTTAGATAATATAATATACTTATCTTATCAAAGTTCTAAGATGTTGAGATACGTTTTGCTTTCCAAGTTTTGAAATTCATTTATTTTAATTATTAAGACATATTCAGAATTCACATTATAACCCAATAAAGTATTCATTACTCCAGAATAAATGCTGCTATACTCTGGAGGTGAAAATTCAAAAATCTTATCTAGAACAAATAGTTTAATTTGGGTTTTATCAAAAATTTGATACCAAATCTTTACACCAAATTTATAATGTTACAAAAAATAAGATTCATAATAGAGACATTAAACAATCCAGTTTTATAGCTTTTTAGTTTCTTAAGTCCTTCTGAAAACTATAAAGGAAGTTCACTTTGTGGCTAGTATAAATTAATAATGATTGATAATTAAAATAAAATCAATTAAATAGACAAAATTAAATTGTTAAAAAATGATTTACCATCATTTTTAAGTAATTATTGATAATATTAGATTTAACTCTTTTTTCAGATTTTAAAATAATTTTTTTAATTTGCTGTTCTGAGAGGTTTGAAACATAACCTATAGTATGTTTTAATAAGTTTATATTTTCATACGAACTAATCAAAATTTGAACCTTATTGATTAAAGATTCATGATTTTTAGACCCTAAATCAAATAAAGTTTATATTATTAAATGCAAAAAATAAATTAATAATGTAAAAAATATTATCACTAAAATGTATTGCTACAATATTTGCCCAAAATTGAAGAACTGGATAATATCTTTTGGTATATTTTTTCTATTAAATAGATAAATATATAGTACAACTCTTTCTGACAATCATCTGGACCATATTTTTCTGAAAAACTTTTTGACTAAAAAACAGTAACGTACTGCAAGAAA